TTCCAAACGAATTAAAAATCCTCTGCGGCGGCATTTTCCAAATGATCAGCACAGTACTTTGAAACAGGATTTGTGGCCCAGAATCGAGGCGGTCCCAGTGAAAGGTCTCCGGAGCTTGGGGACGGCGGTGCTCTGGGGGAGTCCTTACCGCAGCTCTGATCTCCCCACGCGCACTTAGGTCTGGCTCACTGTTGACAGAGGTCCCCCGCTAACCGCAGGCGCCACAGGGGGGGGACCCCACACCCCACTGCCGCTCCCCCCTTTCCAGTGATGGTCTCTGCCCCCTTTCCATAAGTTGAGGCTTGCCTCTCCCGGCCCTCACCCCACTCTGACGGAGGTTGGTTGGCGGGGGATTGACTCAGGAGACCTCATCAATTCCTTCGCTTCGATGATGGTCAGGCCCTCAGTGCTCTCGCTCAATGGCCACCAAACCTGACCAGCGGCAATGAAGTGTAGACTCCAAATGTTTCAATGCAGTGAGTCAGGGGAGGCATCCGTGTACCCCACAGGGGAAGCCACCTCAACTTAGTAAGGACGTGTGGCCTCTGCTGTCACACTGCCTCCCTGCTTCAATGAGCTGGCTGACTTCCTAACAACCATGAACAACTACCAAGAATTTATGCGCTGGCTTCCGCAGGCTGGGCATTGCGTCAAGGGATCTGCAGAGGTTACCATGCGTGCCCTTACTCCTACTGAAAGTAACAGGGGCGCCTGGGTGGCTCAGTCGGTTGAGTGTCCGACTTCAGCTCAGGTCATGATCTCCAGGTTGCTGAGCTCGAGCCCTGAGTCAGGCTCTGTGCTGACCGCTCAGAGCCTGGAGCCTGCTTCGGATTCTGTGTCTCCCTCTCTCTCTGCTCCTCTCATACTGTCTCCCTCTCACAGATAAATAAACATTAAAAAAAAATTTTTTTTAATAAAAAAAAAAAAAACAAAAAACAAAGTAACATTAGACTTTAGTAAACAAAGGTCTCTCAAGCGGGGGGACCTGTAACCCCCTTTTCAATAGGGTATTACCCTTTTATTATGTCAGTATCTTTTGGACATGTTCGTAATTATTCACATTAGGGGACAGGTAAATGGGGGTCATTTGACTACTCTTTCTCCTTTAACAGATGCATATACCTTGCATAAAATATACATATACATTCTAGAAGTGTTTTTTGGATTGGCATAATAGTCCGTCTTTAACTTCACCCTGAGAATCTCAGCTCTGATCCAGTCTATCTCGGTGTTGCAAACCCTTACAGGACAATCTTTATTGCCACGGAGTTTGAGTTTTTGAGGGGGTACTGCCCTTTTGTCTCCACTTCCTGATACTATAAGTAACTATAAATAGTTTTGATTGGATATGGATAATCTAATACATGCTGGGTGCTGTGAAAAATAAAGAACTATTATTTTCTTAGGGGGAAGAGGGTCCCCTGTGAGAAGGGGGTCAGGCTGGAGAAATCTGTACACGCAAACCTTGTTAAAGTAACTCCTACCCCCATTCGTCCCCCCCCCCCGTACATTTAATTACTCATGCACAATTACTATACCCTGTGTTCAATCTAACATATAAACACTATCTGCTTTTTGGGTCTTCATTTTCCTACGCAGGCGCCATATACATTTAAAAATCTACATGCTTTCCTCTTGTTAATCTGCCTCGGGTCAATTTAATGCTCAGGTTTAGCTAGAAACCTTAAGAGGGGAGATGTAAAGTTTTGCCTCCCCTACAAACTCAGGGGGTGGATTTCTTCAATCTCGTTACACGTCTCGCCTTTTTTCCTATTAAACTTCATCTCACTATTTTCAGTCTGTCCTTCCTGAAAGTCCAATCTTTTGTATCCTTGCTCCTTCAACTTTGGAAAAGAGTCATATCTTTAAGAAAAATGATCTAAGTTTGGGAAACTTTGAATAAATTCATTGGGAGCTACTTGGACTTAGAAAATTCTGTTCAGTAATTTTAAAGTTGCACAAGTAAGTGCTGTGTAAAAGGCCTCTACAAGCAACTAAAATCAGGGACAGGTTTACATTGTTACAATCACACAAACACACACACACAAAAAGAATTTCCTGAAACATATTGCTATCTTGGCCAGGCTGATTATATGAAGAAGCATCAAGGAGCGTTACATATGCTGAATTTCAGGTAGATTCTTTTTT